AGGCAAGGACTCTACTGCTAAGCTAGAACTACCCCAGAACACATTCATTTTTTAAAAATGAGGTTTATTTGTTCATTTTATTTATGTGTATGGGTGTTTAGTTGCATGTTTTTATCTGCATCACATCTGTGCCTTTGACAGTCAGAGGCTATTGGGTCCTTTGTACTGGAGACAGAAGTGGTTGTATACCACTCGATCCACCTGATGTGGCTGTTGCTGTCTAAACACAGGTCCTCTGCAATAGCAGGAAGCATTCTTTCTCAAGACAGGGTTACTCTGTGGATCCCTGGCTGCCTTGAAACTCACTCTGTAGACCAGGCTGGCCTAGAACTCACAGAGACCCACCTGCCTCTGCCTCCTAAGTGGCATGTGCCATCTCCATCCCCCCCCACTTACTCTCCCCAGTGTAGTAAGCTTTCTTAATTTCTGAACCCCCAGAATAAGTTCTTTAATCTTCAATTTTCAGTTTATAGTGGCTGCTACCATTCAGACTCTTGGGACTACATTCCTTCAACCTCTGTTCAGTGGTCACTTACTTTCTTGTTTTTAGAGTCATACGCCCCTTAATGATGGAGATACATTATGAGAAATTTGTCACTGTACAAACATTATAGAATGCACTTTGCAACCATAAATAGTATGGGCAAATTACTCATCCTCACCTCCTGCTGTAGCCAACAGACAGGCTAAACAAAATGTAGGCAGCTTCTGGAAGCATGTCATGGCATACTCTCAACTTCACTTTCATAAGTAGAGAAATAGACTGTAAAAATAATTAAACATTGTAGAAAAGTTAATACATTAACCAGTATTAACAGTCACTTAGTATTTTAAACAGTTATATGTACTGTATACAATTGTATGTGCTGTCCTTTGATACAACAATAGGTTTATTTACCTCAGCTTCAATATAGACAGATGAGTGGTGCATTGTGTTATGAGGCTACAATGGCTCTGATGTCACTAGACAATTAGAACTTTATAGATCCATTATTTTATGATAATACCATTATATATTTTGCTCATTGTTGGAAAATATTATTCACTGACTTGCTGTGGGATAATGTTCTTGTACACTGTAAAGATTTGTTACTCTTATTGGTTTAGTAAAATGCTGATTGACCAGTGACCAGGCAGGAAGTATAGGCAGGGTGACTAGCCTGGGAGAATTCTGGGAAGAGGAAAGGCAGAGAGTCAGTCACCAACCAGATGCAGAGGAAGCAAAATGAGAATGTTTTACTGAGAAAAGGTACCAATCCATGTGGCTAAACATAGACAAGACTTATGGGTTAATAATAAGCCTGAGCTAATAGGCCAAACAGCTTATAATCAATATAAGCCTGTGTGTTTTGGGGGGCACTGAATGGCTGTGGGACCAGGCAGGACAGAAACTTTCATCTATACTGATGGTCCTCTTCTTGGCTAGAAGATACCAACTTTCTCTGTGTTTTAATATGGCTGAGAAAGAATATGGGAGGAAGGGAAACCAAGACTTCTATTAAAAGCGATGTCCTAAACAATTATTAACTCCAGATACAACCACATTGGGGTGGGACACAATTCAGTCCTTAGAAAAGGCCAACAAGAGCTATTGAATTTTTACCAATGAGGCTACGTGATCACATTTGACAAGATAAGCTGAGATGTGTAGAGAATGGGCAAAAGGGTGGAAGTGAATATAAAGGCAGGAGAGAAAGTGTTTTCAGTGGTTTAACTAAATTCAGACAGCATGTCAGTTGGAAAATAGAGAATTCTACACTAACCCAAGAGGTAAAACTGAGTAGGTAGAGTTCTTCATTTGATATGAACATGATGGCATAAGAAGCACCTGCTAGGCTGGTTAGGTTTTCACACTGCTTAACTGAATGAGAGATAAAGCTATTTAGATAGGGAATACTCAAAGGAGATTAAACATGGGGGAAGGACCAGCAATTCCTTTGATATCTGGAACATTTTAGGAATGTTTGAGAGATTAACTCTTTTGAATGATATTAATTTTTATAATCATTAAACACGAACACTTAAGTACTGCCTAAGTACCTATGTCTTAACACAATAAAAGAACTAGTTCTTTTAGCTTCCACGAGAAAACAAAATTTATAAAAAAAAAAAGCATAGGTAGAAGGATTGGTCCTAGGCTGGAGTGCAGCCTCCATCTTGATGGAAAGGGGCTTGGTACTTTTTGGCAGACACCTAACATTTAGCACTTTTAAATAAATTAATTTCCCCCCAAAAATATGATCTTTAATTGTTGAGCTAACTTGCAATAACACAATGAAATACCAAAGACAGTCTACTTAGGAAATAAAGTTGCCCTTTTTGCTTTATGGTTCTGGAGGTTCAAGTTCAATTCTGAAAGGTCACATTGGTTTGAGTCTCTCATGACAATGCCACATTATGTATGGAGTGTTTGGTGAAACAACCTACTTAAATCTTAGGCTAGACTGAAGAGAGACAGGAGTTTCATGTTTCCTTTTCACAGCATACCCCAATTACACCACCCTGGAGTAGTACCACTTTGAGAAGAAAGCTTTAGGACACCCTGTTATGGTTTAAATAAAAATGCTGCAGATCTACAAGTGGCTGCAGCAGGAGGGCCATGAGATCATGCTGCAGGTCCCTGAAGTAGCAGCAGGCAGTGGGCAGCAAGTCCCAAGAGAGCAGCCAGTCCCAGGCAAGGATGGCACAGTTCCCCGAGTGGCTGCAGCAGGCTATGAGTCCCAGGCAGAGAGATGCATGGTGGGTGAGAGACCTCGATGGGGCAGCCAGTCCCACAATGAGAAACAGACAGATGAGCATGCCACAAGACCATGCCACGAGATAATGCTGCAGGTCTCCAAAGGCGCTGGTCCCAGGCAGGGAGCCACATGGTGGGCGAGAGACAGAGATATGGATAGGCATGCAATGCAGAGTGAGGTTGGATATTTAGTGGGTTATGGAGGGGAAAGGGGAGAAGTGGAGAAGAGCAGAGAGAGAGAGACAAATAGAGAGAGAGAAAAAGAGAGAGGGGGAGCGGAGAGGTGGGGAGAAGGGAGAGACAGAAGCTGCCTCTTCAAGAGGGAGACTGGAAAGGAGGGACTCAGTCTGGAAGCTGGAGATCAGGAGTGGTGTGGCTTGTCTCATAAAGGGACAGGACAGATCTTACACTCTCCACATTCAAATGACATCTCTTGGTTAATGGCAACATTGCTTTGACCATCCATGAGAGTGCCATCATCTTTTTAAACTCCTCTCTCTCCGAAAGTTTATCCCATTGTCAATTTTCTCTTGGTTCTCCATGAATTAAAGCCCTTAAAATTCCATTGCAAAAATTATTTCGAGTGTTACTTCCTCCTTGCACCTTTTCTGTTTCTCCCAACATAATAATGTTTTATGGATATGGGAGCATTTAAAGAAAAATTCCAAAGAGAATATCAAAACAAATATTACTAATTTAAGATGTTGTGAATTCACTTTAACTTTCATTACTCAAAAATTCTATTCTTTACATCTCTTAGTGTACCCTTCTTTCCATTTCTTTATCATCATTATTATTTTGAATGCATTCTAGTCCTCTTTGGTGGAGGTTTGTTTAAGGTTGAAGAAAGAAAATCCCGGGATTGGGACAAGCCTGTTGTGGAAAATTACTTTAACTATGTGAGGATGTGTTACATTTGTTTCTACTGGCTTTGTTAGCAAGGTCAAGATGTTTCTTTTCATTTTTTTGTGTCACCTTGTCTGCCTAAGACACCTGATTGGTTTATTATAAAGCTGACCGGTCAATAGCTAGGCAGGGGAGGGGTAAGGTGAGTTCAAAGGCAGAGTAAGTAGGAAGAGAAATCTAGGATAGAGGAGAGAATGAGGGAGAAAGAGAGGGACATGCCCAGGGTCAGAAGCCAGCTAGGCAGATAGGAGAAGCAATGAAAGTAGGACATACAGAAAGAATGGTAAAAAGTCCCAAGGCAAAACGCAGATAAAAAGAAACACTAAAATAAAAGCTAAGTCTGAGCATTCGCAACAAATAACATGTCTCTGTCTCATGATTGGGATACTGGTTGGTGGTCTGAAAGAAAGTCTGCTACACAAGTCTGAGCTACAAAGAGACCAATCTCAAAAAAATATTGTGTTCCATATAGATATTTGACAACACATGTAACATAAACCCTAAATTTAATAAATGTGACTTTCCCAAATCCACTAAGCCAGCTTTGTGGACGAAGACAATAAAGCTGGGGTAGAAAGGGGTCCGAAAGTTCTATGTTCTAGGTCACTGTATTTCCATAGAAGATTTTCCTGCAAATGAATTTTCTGAATCACGACAGAACCACCCAGGATCAAGCTTGATCTTTGGATCAGAAGCTATTTTGAAGTCAACGAAGAATAAAAGACAACCAGCCACGGGCATTGGAATTAGCTTTGATGTAGGACTTGGTCCCAATGCATTTTGGTTGCCAGTTCTTAAAACTCTTGAGTTAGCCCAGTGTACTTTGAAGCTTTCGTAACTTCACAGAATCCCAACGAAATCCCTAACCCAAGATTCAGCAGCAGATTGCACAGGGTCTGGGATCATTTCTTTTGGTTCTATTTGCCCATCAAGAGGGAAGTGGCCGATTATCAGGTAAAACCTTTCCAGGAGAGGCAGTTACAAAGAGCTCGGACAGCTCCCAGGACCCGCGACCTCTTCATCCAGCAGAACCCCAGAAAAGCCACCTCTCGCAGCAGGCTCGGGGTCACCTGGCGCACCTGCCAACAGGCCCCGCCCTCTGCCCCCGCTCCGCCCGCTCCCTGCCGGCCGCTGCTGCAAGCCCCGCCCCGGTCGGCGCCGCGGCCTGGGGCTCGAGCTCTGGCCCCGCCCCCTCCTGCTCCCCAACGTCCTCGGCGTCGAGCCCAAGCCTGCGCCTGCGCCCTGAGGCTGTAGTCGGGGCGCGCCTTGGCTAGAACGCGGAGAGCGGCGGGCGGAGCAGCCAATGGGCGGCGGCGCTGCCTAGCGGCCGGGAGGCGGGGCCTGCGCGGGTGTTAGGTTAGCGCGAGGCGTGACCTAGTTGACAGGCTCTGAGGTGCTGCTGTGGCGGCGGCCGCGGGGCAGAGCGGGCGGGCTGAGGGGAGGAGGGCGGCGACGGGCGAGCGGCTGGCTAGCAGAGCCTTTGCACTTTTCCCACCCGAGTGTCCCCTCCATTTCCTGCCCCCCCCCCCCACACTCCACACACCCTGTCTGCCCGTGAGCCTGGGGAACTTGCAGCTTAAAGCCAGCCACCCCCACGGCAGCATGTACCCCAGCAACAAGAAGAAAAAGGTGTGGAGAGAGGAGAAAGGTAACCGGCCCCGAGGCCCCGGGGGCGGGCGGCGGGTGGGTGGGGGGCGGGAGCCCCGGTGGGGCGGCGCGGCGCCCTCCGCCCGCAGACTCCCTCGCGCCCTCTCGGCCGGTGCAGCTCCAGCCCGTGGCCGCGTCCTCGCGCGCGCGCTCACGCCCCGTCTGGCCACGCGCCGCCCCCGGGCACCTGCGGCTCGCGCACGTGCGGGGCGCACACCCCCCTGGGCGCCGAGTCGTCCCCTCCCCGGCAGCGGGTTCCCCGGGGCCGCGTGCAGGTTGGTCAGGATCCCGGCCGGGAATTTGCACGGCCCGCCCGGGTGTCCCGTGGACAGGTTGCCCGGCGGCGGGGGCTCAGGCTGCGGCTGCTGCTGAGCCTGGGTGCGCCTGCACCTGCTTTCGTCCGTTCCCCGCCTCTGCCCTCCGTCCATCCCAGCCCCGCTCCGCTGCTGCAGCAGTGGAACTTCTGAAATTTGCAACCTGCAGGGAGCATCTTAGCGGGCGAGCATCAGTGCCTTCCGAGAAGTCTGAATGGGCTTTCCCCGGCGCCGCGTTTCTCTGTTGCATCCCCATTCATAGTGTGAAGTCGCCCTGAGTAAGGCTGCTTGCACTCCGTGAATGAACCCTTCCCCGAGTTTTGTGCACACCTAGGCTTCTCCAGATCCGTTAGATTGACAGTGGCGCTGATTCCTTTAAGAAGGAGAGCTGTGCGATTTTTTTCTCTCTCCCGTCTGTCTCACCTCAGTTTCACAGACCATATTTTGATGTGTCTGGCATAGTTTTCTTCATCTTTTAACCTCTTTTATTCCCCCCTTCCCATTACAGATAAACCATGTGCATTGACTAGCGACGAAATCTGTATTAAAGGATGAAGCTGAGTAAGGGTGTACAGATTTCTCTGGACTGTCTTAAAGAGCAGGGATAATGGGGCGAAAGTTGATCTTTTTCTTTTTTGGCCTTAGCTTGTTAAACATTTTCATTTCAAGTCCCTGCCCTTTATGAACCCTTTGACCAAACAGTAGATGTCAGTACGAAGATTAGAAAGAATTCTCTAAATAGTGCCTGCTTTAACAGTGCATGAGAAAAGGAGTAAGGAGGGAAGTTTTCAAATTAACTGCAGGGAAGTCTTAACATGACTGAACAGTCCAGTTCAAATATCCTTAAAATGCTGGAAGATTTGCAAGCGTCACTGTGTGAATGAATATGAGTTTGAGAGAATTAAAACTTAAGGTGTCACAAAACAAATGCTGTTTAGAACTACGGTCTGATAACAGCGGAAGACATAGGTCACTGGTAGAGCATTCGCTGACCCTCAGAAGGCCTCTCTACACCTATCTCTGGGGAAAACTAAAGCCAGGGAGAGTTGGGGAAAGAGTCGTCTCTGGGACATAGTGCTTGTGCCTTGCTTTTGTAGTAGCAGTTTGTGTTGAGCATATTTATTGTGAGCGCTGGAAAAATCACACCCGTTTTTCTTGATGTTCTTTATATGTTAGCTTTGTATAATTGATGATGATAAAACAAAATAGTGTAAAGCCATTGACACTGTTCTCAGCAACACGAATCATTGGCTGTATAGTGAAAACTTGAGAACTATTTCTGTTATGTTAGGAAAACAGCTCCTAAAGTAGCATCTATACACTTGGACTATGATGAGCAGACATTTCAGAATCTTTCTTTAATATCTTGGTTTTTGTTTTGCCTTATGTTTCATATGAAAGGAAAATATAAAGAAATATTTTTTAAAAAAATGAAGATGCAAATGCACAAAGAATGCTTTCAGTGGAGTTATTTTCTTTTATCCCAAACTAAGCTATTTTTGCATGAAGGTTAAAGTTAAAGGGAAATATTACCAAGTGAGTTCTTTCTGTCTTCTCTGGATGTCTGTTTTGGAATAGTTAAGTGTGAAGTATCATCTGTTATTCCACCAAAAAGAAGCCAATGGGATGCATGCCCTTTCCCTTATATCCCACTGGAGGGATAAAGTACTTCTTTAATGACGGCTTAGTACTTCTGCAGCTGTTATTAAAATCTAAATGAAGGCTTACCGAGATCATTGCACTATCAAGGCATTTTAGAGACATATTTTAGTTCAGAACAGCATGTAGTAAATAGAACTCTTTATGGACTTGATTCCTAGAGAATGGATTCATTATGAAGATGAAGCATTAGCAGAAGGAAGTTTTTGGTAATGCCTGAGAAACTGTGCCTTTTGCTTTCCATTTGATTCATTCTGAAACAAGTAACTGAGGAGTTCTTAAAAAGCACACATGTAAATAAGTATTGTCCTACTACTCTGAGCTCTATTTCAGAATCATTTAATGTGTGTCTTTTCATTTCAAGCTTTGCAGTTTATCTCATTGTTTTTATTGTATTACATTTGGTGTTGTTTTGTTTTCAGTATGCACATTTACTTCCAAATAAATAGAATGACAGTCTTGTTTCTGTCTGACTTTTTGCATTTACATAAACAATGTTTCCTAATGTCCTTCAGCCTAATGTCTAGCTGTAATAATCCTGCACTGTGATCTGAGCTATGGAAGCAGTGCTTAAACCACTGAGGGTCAGTTCCCTTTTCTGACTTTGTGAGCCAATTCTGAAGTTATTTCTTTGAACCTTCCTATTCTACCTATTATTCTACAATGAACAGATGACTCTGTCTTTTTAATTCATGAAAAATTAAGTATAACAAAACAGTAGCAACCCTAACATGCTCTCTATAGTGTCATTGGACTGTTACTTTACATTTAGTTTAGGTTTTGTTCCCATTTTAGAGGTAGCACTTTTTTTTATTGTTTATTACATGTTAGATTAACCCTTGTGATCGTGCTCTTTGGTTAGTCGTGTATAGTCTTTTGAGATCTTGTGTCGTCATGTATTTATTTTTTAGGCTGTTCATCTTTTCTCTACTGTCTATAATAGTGGTCTTATGTTTGACCTTTGTTTCTTTCACAGGAATTTGTCTTGGGGTTGTGCTCCTTGTCCTCCCTGCTATTCTTTCTTCCTCCCTCTCTCCTTTCTTCCCTCTCTCCTTTATTTCTCTCTCTCTCCCTCCATTCTTTTCTTTCCCTTTTCTCTTTTTTCTTTCTCTCTTCTCTCTCCCTTTTCTTTCTTTCTGTCTGTCTTTCCTTTTCTGTCTTGCCCTGTTCTGACCTCCCTCCCTCCCTCCTTTTCCACAGGGTCTAACTCTGCATTGCTTAGGTTGGCCTAGAACTCATTCTGTAACCAAGGTTGACCCTGAACATGTGACAGTCCTCTTGCTCCAACCCCAAGTAATAGGATTACAGGTGTGAGCCACTATATCAGGCCTTACTTCCCTTCCCTTCCCTTCCCTTCCCTTCCCTTCCCTTCCCTCCCCTCCCCTCCCCTCCCCTCCCCTCCCCTCCCTCCCCCTTCCCCTTCCCCTTTCCTTTTCCTTTTTCCTTTCCTTTTTCCTTTTCTTTCCTTTAGTACCTCATAGTGTCATGGATTTCAGTTATATTTGAATGAAACTAGTGTTTCTAAAGTCATTCAGTAATGATGATGAACATAATAAGTTACCGAAGTCCTGTTTTGTGTTCTTTGCTGTTTTTTAATGCCTTATATATAAGGGTTATATCAGTTGATCTCTGAACTCATGAAAGTAGAAAATGGTATGAGGTAATGTAGGGTTAAGCTTTAGATGTACTTGTCCCATTTCAAACCCTAGTTGATACCACTCTACAAGCTCCAGGATGTTATGTAAGTTTTCTGACCTCACTCACTGCCTTAGTTACCTCACCTAAAAGTTGGGAAGAATACCTGTCTAATTCTTTCATGAAGGAATTGAAACATAAAGAGATGAGGAAATTGATCTAAGACCATATAGATTTATATAATGACTTAGGTCATAGGCCAAACTCTGTCAACCACTGCTCTGTTTTCTGTGCTGTTGGACACCCAGTCGATAAGGCAGTGGCTTTGTAAAGTAATTCTTGTTTTTTCTGACCTTCCTGTAGAACTTGATAGCATTTTCTTCTTGTATTTATTAAAGCTCTTTCCTCTATATCACTTGAACTTCTTAACCTTGACAACAACTAGATTTTATGTCATTATTCTCCTTTGTAACTGTTGTTAACTTCAACAAATTTTCTGTTTTTTCCTGTTTTCTGTCCTCTCCTTCTAGTGCCAGAAATTTATTTCTTATATTAAAAATAAGTAGCTCTTTTTCCTGCTTCCTAGTGGATCATCTTGTGCACAAACCAGGATATTCCTAACCAACTTTAAATTAGTGGTCTTTTTTTATAGAAGGAGGGCTAATGCCACAGCATCCCATACAAATCCTTGCACAGTTTCACTTTATTTTTGGCTGTTTTTCTTTTCTGTGGGTCTTCTGTTCCAGATAAAATCTTAGAGTTTCATTAAAGTATTTGCATCACCTTGCTTTTATTGTTGTTCTGTTAGTTGAAATGCCCTTACTCTTTTCCTCTTCATGGGAAGACTCTTATCTGTGCTTCGTTAGTCATGACTTGTTATGAAAATTATTTTAGTGATACAAACATCGGAAACACTTGGCACCCAGTGAGCTCTTTATAAACAGCATCTGCTTTTCTAAGATGTTGTTTTATATTTTAATCTTAAAGTGTATATATAAAGTATGTATGTTCTACCACCATAATGCTATTGCTGAATTGAGAGTACACTCTCGTTGTTGATAGCCTGGAAAAAAATGAGGAAACAGCTTTGTAGCTACCTTTCTTGTGCTATCACTGTTTGGATACACCTGTCTCAGCAGTCTGCACTTTCTTTAGTTGATACTATTTTGTAACTTACTCATTTGCTCCTCTGCGGTGGGAACTGACAGATCATTGTTCCTGAAGTCTGTGAATGCTTCACCTAATATGTGGCCCATGTTAGTCCATGATGATAGGAAGAAATGACTCATTTTTTGGGCCACCTTAGGGACTTTGTTCCTACCAGCTTTAATTTTACATTTCTTGCTAGTGTTGAACTAATTTGACCTCCTTTAACCCTCAAATATGAAATCATTAGATTGCATTAAGTCTTTGGTTAGTGTAGCATGATTAATATTTATAAATGTTTTCAGTAGTTCCCAAGATTAAAATTTAAATGCAAATGGAGACTCTGCTTTTATTTTGCAAGAACGTTTGCTGAAGATGACCTTAGAGGAGAGACGCAAAGAATACATAAGGGACTATGTTCCTCTGAGCACCATCGTGTCATGGAAGGAGGAGATGAGGAGCAAGGGCCAAAATGATGGTAAGTTTCTCAGAACAATTTCTAGGCATATGCTCTTCCTATATATATCTTGTAAGACAATTGTTGACAGATATGAATAATTGATATTCATGAAGAAGGTATTTTTGAAATAATTACTTTCATGTTTGAAATTATTGTTTGATTGCTTTTGGTTACCTGCTGTATCCTTTTTAAGCTTAGGAATGTATAGTAACATAATTAATGTTCTGAAATATACATGTTTTCAGTACAGTGTTTTTTTGCAAGTATTTTTTTTTAATTCTTTAAAAACTATTCTGTGGGCCAGGCGGTGGTGGCGCACGCCTTTAATCCCAGCACTCGGGAGGCAGAGGCAGGCGGATCTCTGTGAGTTCGAGGCCAGCCTGGTCTACAAGAGCTAGTTCCAGGACAGGAACCAAAAGCTACGGAGAAACCCTGTCTCGAAAAATCAAAAAATAAATAAATAAATAAATAAAAACTATTCTGTGTCAGATTTTAAGAGAAAATGCTATAGAGATTTACTCATTGATGGTGTGGCATTTTGAGTTTGCGTTAGTTCCATTTCTATTGGATTTTCTTAGGTTATTTTAATGGTTTTGCATATGGTTAAGATTGTATATTGCAATACAGAAAAACAACAACATTTCAGATAACTTTAGAGAATGTATGTTTTATTTGGTATGGTATTATTTTTACATGTAAAATCATTTGACAAAATTTTCTTAGTCTTTTTGGTTTGATAGAAGTCTGGATTGCATTAGAGTATATGTAGATTTTAAGCATTAAGAGGATACATGAAAATTGGTTATTCCATATCTAGTGGTCTGCCTGAAATCATATACACCCAAGCAACACTAAATGGAATCAGCAAGTTGTATTTATTTATTTTATGCATAGTATTTGCATAAATAGTAAAGTCTCCAAAGAAAAAGAGGCCATTAATTTGACAGGGAGATGGAAGGGGTCGGAGGGAGGAAAGGGAAGGAAGGAAATAATGTAATTATATTTTAATAAAAAATTTTTTAAAGTTTCTAAACAGGAAATCATACATTTAAAAGATGTTTGATATACTTATCTCAGAATTAGTAGTTATTGGTGTTAATCTTTATGTAAAGTTTAGACGAAAAGCACACTTCAGAGCAGGGAAATCTGCTTTATGAAGTGGACTTGAACTATTAAGGACAGGTGGTGTCCTTAGATTGATGTCAGTGTACAGGGTACAGAGTACCTTGGGTTCAGAAAATGAAACCCAAGCATGGAATTCTGGACAGAGCCTGTGGAGAAAAACAGCTAATTTAAGATTTGGTGTTTGTAAAGACCACACAGTTAGGGTTGAGCTATAGACACTTTTTTTTTCTTGAAAGGAGGGGCAGGAGTGGTGACATGTGTGAAGCTGAGGCTGGAGCGCAGCTATAGGTCTGACAGCTTGGACAGTTGTCCCTTCAAGGCCAATTTAGGCTGTGTAGCCAGACACTGTTTAAAAAACACACAGCTGCAACCACAACAAAGGCTTGTTAGGCTGAGTGACTGATCTTTTCAATGGGTAGGCGGGACAGTGACTTCCCTCAAGGTTTTGTGGTGTCCTAGGATGTGGAGTAAAAACACTCATCCATTGCTGGTGGGAATGCAAACTTGTACAACCACTTTAGAAATCAGTATGGTGGTTTCTTAGAAAATTGGTAATCAACCTACCTCAGGTTCTAGCAATACCACTCTTGGGCATATACCCAAAAGATGCTCAATAATACTACAAAGACATATGTTTAACTATGTTCATAGCAGCATTGTTTGTAATAGCCAGAGCCTGGAAACAGCCCAGATGCCCCTCAACAAAAGATTGGATAAAGAAAGTGTGGCACATTTACACATTAGAGTCCATTACATTTCAGTGGTAAAAAACAATGACATCTTGAATTTTGCATGCAAATGGATGAAACTAGAAAACACCATCCTGAGTGAGGAAACCCAGACCCAAAAAGATGAATATGGTATGTACTCACTTGTAAGTCGATACTAGCTATAAACAAAGGACATTGAGCCTATAGTTCATGATCCTAGAGAAGCTAAGTAACAAGGTGAACCCTAAGAAAAACATATATAGATCCACCTGGAAAGTCAAAATAGACAAAATCGCCTGACAGAATTGGGAACGTGGGGGTAGTGGGAGAAGGGATGGTGGAAGGGAAACAGAAGGGGAGAAGGGGAAGGGTGAGGAGAACTTGAGGGAATGGGATAGTCAAGATGGAGGAAGGACAGATGAGAGCAAGGTAAGACATATCTTGATTGAGGGAGCCATTATGGGGTTAGCAAGAAGCCTGACTCTAGAGAAATTTTCAGGAATTCACAAGGATGACCCCAGCTAAGATCTTCTTTTGTTTATAAGCAACTGGTATTGAATAATTAGCTCTATGCCTAGCAAAAATCTCCATTTGCTTCTCTCTTTCATTTGATTACCTTTTTGCTTACTATAGTAGCTGGTCAGTTCTCTAAGGATATTGCACATGATGTTCTTTTTAGCAAATTTGGTCTCTTGGGATAGAGTTAGATTCCTGCTGCTGGTGGAGTAGTTCAAAGAGCAGTAGCTGATGCTCAGGCTGCTATGCAGTGTTGGAATGGCAGTGTTTAGGAACTTGATTTTCTTGATGGCTTCTTCTGTTTTCTTTATTTTTTTATATTATTTATTTAGCAATTTGTGTGTGTGTGTGTGTGTGTGTGTGTGCACGCACATGTGTGTATGTGCTGTGTGCATGTGTGTGTATTTGGGGACGAGCTACATTAATACCACATCCCAGGTGTCCAGGTCAGAGCACAACTTGTAGGAGTCAGATTCCCACTTCCACTATGTGTCCTGGGAATATAGTTTCAGTTTTCAAGCTTGGTGGCAAGCGTCTTTATCTGTTGAACATCTTTATTTTATAGGTCCAGGCTACTTCTGTTTTAAAGATTCAGTCAAAAAGTAACCATATGTGGTAGAATTTTGTTGTTAGAATTCACAGTAGTTTGGTGTGTTCAGGAATACCACATGCTAAAATGTTAAATATTTTATATTTATTATAAATATTAAATAACTGCCAAATTAGAAAATATACATAGAATAACTCCTGACATGTTCTTGTCTTACATGACACTGTGTATTTAATCCTGTGTCTCAAATATGAACTTATAATTTACAAGTCATTTGCAGTTTTTTAATGCACTACTTTTTTTTTTACCTGTTATGCAGTTTTGAACCTGAATGCATTCTATGAGAAATTAGGTGATGTGATTTGAGTTGTATTTCTATTAAATAATGTTTTATTTTTTTTGTGTGTAACATTTGAAATGTTATTTGCCCTTGTCTGTTATAACCTGGAAACTGGTGACTGGCCTTGTCCTTGTCCTTGAAATGTATCAGCTCATTATATAAGTGATATTTGCTAATTTCTTCAATTGTACACACTTTATATATTCTTCATATGCACTTTCTTGTCATCTCTTTAGTACTAAGTCTTAATAAATTGTTAGTCAAGACAGTGTCAGTGCTTTAAAAGATGTTCAGCTAATTGGTGAATAGGATCACAATACATTATGTACATGCATGAAATGTCACAGTCAAATTTATTTTGTATAATTAGACACCGTGGGAAGTTGCACATATGAACTCATAGTGTTTGTGTCAGCATGCATAAGACCCGAGTAAGCTCCAGCCAGATAAAATCCCCTGGTGGAGGAGGGCAGGAATCCCCGTCCCTAGCTGAGGAGCTACTAGCTTTTGATGGTTGCTGAGAGAGATAGTTTATCTTTTTGATGGTGTCAACCCTGGCAGTCACTCATAGGTGGTTAGTACAAACTGGACTTGATGGTTTTAAAAAAGAGAGAAGAAAAGTATGACCAAAATACATTGTATGGACGTTTCAAAAAATTAATAAAAACATTATTTAAAGCAATAAATATGTAAACTAATATATGCTAATAAAATACTGGGAATTACCAAGGCCTTTGTTCATGCCAGAAAACTCTCTAACCACTGAGCTACATGTCTAGTCAATGGGTCGTTACTTTGAATGTTTGACGTGCAATTGAGTAATAAAAATAACAAGTCCTTATAATTATTTTATTCAAATATCAGAAAATATTCTTAGAAAATGGTTTTGTTAGAAGAAAACCTTACATTTTGTATCTTCTATATGCTTATATTCAAATCTGATCATAGATGTCATTTAGAAAACATCAAACTCTAAAATTATGAGGTTGCAGACTGTAATCTGAATTACTTAAACATTTTTCAAGGTAATTGAAATATTTTGACATGTATAGGTTGATTAAAGAGCAGAGGCACATTTATAACCTTTAGCTTCTTTCATATTAAAGTTAGGATGATAGCATAAAAGTGCAGTATTATTGATTCTCCTTTCATTTGAACTAATTTCTACTCTTAAAAATTATTACTGTGAAAAGTGATGGCCCATCAGATATGATACTGCTTGTCTGTAATTCCAGTATCCCAACTACTTTAGAGGCTGAAGCAGGTAGATTTTAAGTTACAGGTTTGTCTGGTCAACAGTGTGATATCTTTTCTCTCAAATTTTTTTTTTTTAATGAGAAAGAGAAAAAAATTAAGCCCTAACCACTGAATCCTTTACTCGCTTTACTTTGAGATCTAATTTGAGTAGAATTTGAAATCCCGGTCAGTGAATGACTTATGTACCAAGCTGAAAAGTCATGTTTAGAAATCATCAAAAAAAATCTCTTTCATTTTGACATGGTTTTTAAATTTTATTTTTAATCATATTCTCTGGTAATTTTATATAGGAATGTAATGTGTTTTGATTAATATCCTCTTTCCCACTATTCGTCCAACTCCTAGGACCACACGTGTCTCTAGTCTTTAGATCTTCTTTTGTTAGTATATTTTAATCATCTTTCAATATTAGTATATAATCGAGTACTTTTATTTTAGTAAGTTCATAATTACCACTTTTGGATAACAGTATGTTTATTAATTATAAGAAACAAGGAAATTAGAATGTAAATGCTTATGC